GAAATGTTTGTTGCGATTATCAGGATGCCTAATAGATTTATAACAGATGAAGAAAGCATTCATTAGCTAAATGTTATCTTTATGTCTTTTTTTCATCTAGGCAAAAATGTGCAGTTGCTTAAGATGTTCATATGAACAAGGGATTTTAAAACATTCATGGAAACATGTCATTATATTTTAACTTCATTTTTCAAAAAAGTTTTATGCACACATATGCACATAAATTAGAAGCTTTATATCCAAATTATAAAAATAATGGTGCTTTAAAAATATGTTAAATGTATGGAATATTATAAAAGCTGTAAGAGTCCAAATAAAATTATTTATATTTATATATATATTACATTATTAGTTGAATTAAATATCTGCGATAGACAACATCTAATAGTGACCTTCTGCCCAATACTTACATGTGAGTAAAAATACTTTTCTATGTTATACTTTCCATGTTACATGTTTTTAATCAATAATAAATCTATTGTAGGAAAAAATGAAATAACAAGAAAAATGTGAAGAGGTCTAATTACCTAATAGGAATGTTGAAAGTGCTATAGGGAAAACGCATTGAGCATTGGAGATATTATTTTCCATTTCCTTTAGAATTTCCAATTTTGGTCTGGAATGAACACTAGTGTTTAATATAGAGAACAGTATTTCCTACTGATTATTCCCCTGCAATTTTATCAAGGCTAAACAAGAAAAAAATTATTTTCAACAGCACCTGAGTTGGTTGGTTTGTTGTTGGTTTTGAAATCTACAGTTCATGTAAATAAAATAGTAGACAACTATTGGAAAATTTTAGTAGAAACAAGATAATAAAGACCTTAGTAAATTTTTAAAAATACTTTACATTTTTATATTCAAGACAAAGAATTATAGCCAAGAGATTAATCAAACATAAAGCCAGCTATGAACCTGAAATCAATAACAATGTATTATTTCCTATTGTGATATATCTACTGTTTATATATAAAGTTTTACAAATAACAAATCAATTTCTTAGGATAATTGTAGGAGGTAGAAACATTTCCTTGAAATTTTAAGAAACCTCCAAGTTAATTCTTGTCAGATCCAAAATATGAATCTCGAAAAATTACGGATCTCTGTTTCCACCCTTCATAGCTCTTTTACATAGCAACCAAGTTCATTCATAATGTATTTCAGTACAACTACAGTAGCTACTTAGCAGCCCCAAACTGTCCTTGTTGGAGCAGAATGGATAACTGGTCAATAAGCTATTGCTAAGCTCCGTGAGCACAAATTGAAGTGCATGTTGAAGGGCTCCAGAAAACACAGATAATTTCATTCAATTCATTGAGAAGTAAGTCAATCTTGAGAAATTTGAGAAAATAAATTTTCCACTTCATTTTTAGCTTGTTATCATTTAAAGTAAGAAATATTACTTATTTTGCTATAGATTGCATTTTTATAACCTCTCAACGGAATCTCCGAAGTGCTGTCGTTGTCATTGTTAGTCGCCATGGAGTCTGCTTGAGTTCCTTCACACTCTATGGACCCTGCTTAAGCTTCCAATTACAGAAGCCAGACCACGCTCAGAGGAAACGAGGACCCTCCCCACCCAATTAACCAACAGGGTGTAATTATCAAAACAGAGTCCATATGCATGTTTATTCCTAAGCTGTTTGTTCCATGCATTTTCTGTTCTGTTGAAGATCTCACTAAAACAAATATAAGCCTCCAAAGAATATACACATTATAAGTACATGTTTGAAAATTGTATGTTATATCATTACAATTATTTCATTAATCAGCAAGTCAGGTTATCTTAATCCTACACTCAAATCTGCAAATAAGGAAAATGTATTACTAATGACCAGACTTCGTGATTCAATTTTATTGATACACCCACTTCCTCTTAGTCTTGCCCTGATTTTTCTTTTGAGGCTATGTTAAGCATGTTTTGTGACTGGAGCCTGCCCTGATCTCTTAGTTTTACCAATCAGATGCATCCTAATTTCACTTTCTGAAAGAAAAGTTACCAGACCACCCTGTATTATACTGAAGTTAAGTGTTTCAGTGTAAAAATCCTGGAAGACAGATTTAAGTTCTATTATGAACAATTTCTAATTCTCTTGGCCTCACCTTTTATGCCCACTACTGCTATTGTATAAATCCAGCACTATCCTTGGTAAGTGTGTCATTTAGGAGCCCTGCCCCAGGGTCCACTACGTACATACTGGTTTTTGCTACTGGTCTTTTTGGCTCCTTGCAGCACTTATATACGCTTATCTCAGACCAACTGAATCGCAGACCCAATCATTTAGCTAAACCTCAGTACAAAGCATGCGGCACCAGGTGGTGGTAGTAGTTAGCTCATGCACTACCCTTGAATAATTATGAGTGAGTGAAGGCTTCCTCTTTGTCTCAGGAGTTCATAGGTGTCCACAGGATCGGGTAACAGGCATCAGAAGACTCCAAACTAGCAAACAAACGATGTTGTTGAAAACAAGGGGAGTGGGAGCAGAGACCCAAAACCCATCTGTAGACAATGGGACATCAGCTCACAGAAGTGTCACAAGGAAGGGATGAGTCAACCAGGGCGCAGTACAGCACCAATGAAACACACAATATTCCTCTGGTTCCTTGAGGCTTCCTCACCCCCCACTATCATGACCTCAGTCCTGCCTTTCACTGTGAGCTAGACCAGAGCATTACACAGGTACAGATAAGAGCTCCCGACACAGGAAATCCAGGAATAGGAACGGGAATAGCAATGTAAATAGGGTAGGGTGAAGGTGGGGTAAAGAGGGGAGGAAGGGGAACCGATCACAATGATCGACACATAACCACACACACACACACACACACACACACACACACACCCACACCCACACCATCACCACCACCAGTGGGGCAACAACATAAACTGTGGGGGAAGGGAGACAGCAGTCAGTGTAAGATAAGAATATAATAATAAGGGGTCGCAAGGGGGGCAAGAGTATCTGATACCAAGGTCTCAATAGAAAGTAAATGTTTAGAAAATAATGATAGCAACATATGTAAAAATATGCTTGATACAATTGGCATGTGGATTGTTATAAGAGCTGTAAGAACCCCAAATAAAATTATCTTCCAATAAATTTTTTTAAAGAAAAACAGTCTTAGAGATTCATTAAGAATGGAGAACCAGTGGCCCATGTTAGTGGCAAGCACAACAATATATCCTTTCAATGATTCTAGCGTCTCCCTTTCAATAATCTATTTTCCTGACACCGCTCCCACAAATTGCCACGTGGACATTCTGAACAAGGTACTTTACTTCGACACTACTTTTAAGGTTCAACTTTGGAGTTTTATATTTTGTAACTGTGCTGTGTTGCACTTAGCTACTCTAAAAATATGCACAACAAAGAACTACATGGAGAATTAATTAGTTAATATTTTAAATACACTGTATTAGTCTGTAACTACTAGTCTGTAATAATCTGAGATCCCAGAAAAAGCTTCAACTACTCTAAAACCCACAGAAAGACCTACATAAATGAGAGGGAATATTCAGGTAATTTACCATCATATTTATAGAATAACATAATTTTGAAACATTTAATTTATATCCCACTTGTTTCCACAAATGATAACAACAGTTTACACCTAATGAGCGTTGTTTTACATCAATTATACCATTTGTTTTGTTTTGCCTCAGTACCATGTAGAGCTTTCTCAGGTTAAAATGTCACACCCAAAATTATAGTTATGTACTAAGCCTGCATGCAACTGTACAAGCTATGATTTATTGCCAACATTTTTACCTTGGAAATGTATTTAATTGAATTATTATCCTCCCAAAATGTGATGGAGTTCATATTTGTTGTTTGCTTCAAACTTTTGAGTTGTTATCATGTCCAATATGAGTGCATGCAATTATAGATGATTCTGACAATTTATAATCTGAATTTTTGTCCACAGGAGGTGCAGATTTAGAATGCATATTTGAGCTATTTACTAATGTTTCACATGGAATTGTTCTCTGGACCTTTTTGAATTTTGACTTTTCCCCACAATTTCCAAGGTCTCATACTAGTGCAGCATTTAAACATTTACTTGAGCTAAATGCCCACTCATATTTGCAATAAGATTTCGGTTTTCTGAATTGAAGCTCTTGCATCCCCTAACCCCTCAAATCATTGTGTATAGTATAACTGGTCACAGTCAACCTTGCTTTCCTCATTTCTATATATCTTTGATTATAGTGTTATATCTTAGATATTGACTTGCCAAATGGTTTCTCTTGCTTTTTTAAAACAGCCCCTCCAGAATGGGAACAAAAAATCCAAAATACATATTTGTCTTTATATGACAGTTTATTTTGGGAATGCAAAGCTAGTGGAAAGCCGAAACCATCCTACACCTGGTTAAAGAATGGCGAGATCCTCAACCTAGAGGTAAGCAATCATGTTGGTATTCAAAATTCACCTATGCAGCAAGGCAAATGTTGTTACTTAAAGTAACAACTGCCTCATATGCTGTCTTGTTGTTGTTAGGCACCCTTGAGCCCACTCTGACTGGTAATGGCTCTACAGACAAGAGAACAAATCCCTGCCCACCCCGTGCCATCCTCACAAGTGTTCTTGTGTTTGAGCCCATTGTTGCAGCCACTGTGTCTGTATAGCTTGTTGAGGCCCTTCCTCTTTTTGCTGCCCCTCTACTTTACCAAACACAGTGTCCTCGCGCAAGGACTGGTCTCTCCTGACAACATGTCCAAAGCATGTGAAAGGAAGTCTCTCTATCCTTGACTATAAAGAGCATTCTGGCTGTATTTCTTTCAAGACTGATTTTGTTTGTTCTTTTGGAAGCCCATGGTCCTTCCAACATTCTTCACCAGGACCACAATTCAAAGGCATTGATTGTTCTTTAATCTTCTTTATCAAGTGCCCAATTTTCACATGCATAGAAAGGGATTGAAAATATCAAACTTGAATCAGGCCCACCTTAGTCATCAAGTAAAATCCTTGATTTTCAACACTTTGAAGAGGTCTTGTATAGCACATTGACTCGATACAATGTGTCATGTGATCCCTTGACTTCTGCTTCCATGAACATCCATGGTGGATCCAAGCAAGACACAACTCGACAAATGTACCCTTTTCTTCATTATCCTGATGGTATGTACTGGTCCAGTTGTGAAGACAGTGGCCAATTGGGAGTGTAGTGGGTTACATGGTCACCTGCTAACTACAAGGTCAACAGTTTAAAGCCATCAGCTGCTTCTTGGGAGAAACATGAGATTTTGATTTATGTTAAGAATTATAACCTCGGAAACCTACAGGAACTGTTCTGTTCTCGCTCTCTTTTTTTAGGGTTACTGAGTATATACTCTATATATGCTAACTTATTTAATTTTAAACAAATACACAAAGCATGTATTAATATTATTCCTATTTTTTAGTTAAAAAACTAAATATAAAGCGAACATATGACTTGAAAAATGTGGTTATGGATGCGGTTGTTGATGAGAGATGAGCATTCACATATCGTCATTATCTGGTAACTAAAACAAAACCTGTGTGTTGAAAGTTCCATGCAGCAATCATCCTCGTGCTGCTATTGTTAGGTGTCTTTATATCAGTTCTAACAACAGGACATCATCATTGACATTTATTAAACCTTCATGGGAAACAAGCACAGTGGTAAATATTTTCTCATGGATTATCTTATTTTATTCTAATGGCAACTTTATAATGAAGAAAGTATTAGTATTCCTTTATATAAATTAATAAAATAAACTACATTTAAGTTACTTATCCAAAATCACAGCCCTCAGGAAATGCTAGAACTAGAATTCTAAATGTGATTGGTCTATCGCTAAGACATAAGGTCTCGATTACTACCCACTAATTGCTGGCTTGTATAAACCTTAAGACTATCCCTAAACCCAATGGAAAGTAAAGAACTGGGGAAGTTATTGGTATTTTAATATAAAGCATATGTTTCCTATAATATCCAGAAAATGAGACATAGTTTTTTTTCTCCTCATAAAAGTATCCACATGGGTGTGTAAATTCTCCATTTGCTTTGAGACAAAGAACATCTATTATTGGAAGCTAAAGTAGCACTGCCCCTTGTTTCAATATTAGTCAAGTTTTCCTCCTGCCTATCTTTTGCATGTAAAATTCTGTTTCTCCAGCCTATATTTGTTAATTGTAGAGGACTTTAACAGCTAACTTAAAATACTTAGTTTTAAGTTATATTTGCAGCATGAAGGTATTATGTTGTTGTTGTTGTTGTTGCTGCTGCTGTTAGATGCCATTAAGGCAGTTCCAACCCATAGTGACCAGAGAATGAAACATTGCCTGGTCTTTAGCCATCCTCACAATTGTTCCTATACCTCAGTCCATTGTTGCAGCCACTGTGTCCATACATCTCCTTGAGGGCCTGCTTTTTCACTGCCTCAATACTGTACTACGCACAGTGTCCTTCTCCAGGGACTGGTCTCTCCTACCAATATGTCCAAAGCAAGTAAGATGATGTTTTGCCATCCCTGCCTCCAGGGAGTACTCTAACCATACTTATTTCTTTTAGTAGTCTATGGTACTTTCTATATTCTTCACCAAGACCACAATTCAAATGCATCTATTCTTCTTGGGTCTTCCTTCCACAATGTACAACTTTCACATGTACATGAGGCATTGGAAAATACCATGGCTTGGGTCAGGTACACCTTCGTCCTCAGAGTAACATCCTTGCCTTTCAATGCTTTAGAGAGGACTTACTTAGTAGATTTCTTTAATGCAATCTGTCTTGAACACTGATTGTAGATCCAAGCAAGATGAAATTCTTGACAACTGTCACTTTTTCTCCATTTATCATGATGTTACTTAATGGTTCAGTTGTGAGGATTGGAGTTTTCTTTACATTGAGGCATAATCAGTACTAAAGACTGCAATCCTTAATCTTTATCAGCAAGCTATTACATATGAGCCCTCAAATTTTTATTTTTAGTCCACAAAGGAACTCTATATCAGAATCTGACTGTTTATAGTAGGATGCAAAAGGAAGGATTTAGTTCCTCCCACTTTTGACTCAATTTGAGAATTATTAAATCATCAGATATCAAGTTCTTTTGAGATTTGCATATGGAGTGTCAAGGTAATAATGTAATCCTATTATTTATGTCTGATACTATTCAGTCAGCCATGTTTTCTGGAATAGTAATTGGAATGGTGAAGTGTTCCAAATTATTTTTCATAAAATATCATAGACTGTCTGTTATGCTGGGTTGTCTAGAGAAATAAAACCAGTGACCCTCATATATGTATAAGAATGAACTTTATATCAAGAAGGTATTTCAGACCAGTCCTATACAAGACCATGGGTCCAATGCTAGCCTGAGCGCGCTTCAGATTCATGTAGCTGCAAGTAGATGACATAGAAAGATGAAGAAGGATGCAGGGATATCACAGGCTGGTGGATATGCAGTCATTTTGAGCCAAGGCTAGTGGAACATGGCAGAGTGCCAGCAGTTCCCAGATTGGTTCCCAGGTCAACAGGCCATATGGTGCCCCTCCTGGAGGCAGACTGAGTCCCAGCAAACAGGTTGGCGAAGAAGCAGAGACAGAGCAGTGCTTGCTGTCTCTCAAAGAAAATGTCACATATAACCCCCTTCCTGGGGGACGGACAACAGAAAAGTGGGTGAAGGGAGACATGGGTCAGTGTAAGACATTAAAAAAATAATAAAGTATCAAGGGTTCATGAGGGAGGGAGGGTGAGCAAAAAATGAGGAGCTGATACCAAGGGCTCAAGTAGAAAGAAAATGTTTTGAAAATGATGATGGTAACAAATGTACAAATGTGCTTGACACAGTGGATAGATGGATTGTGATAAGAGTTATATGAGCTCCTGATAAAATGACTTCAAAAAAAAAAAAAGAGAGAGAGAGAAAAGAAATTGTCACACCCCAAGCAGGCATCATCAGTCTGTGACATAATTGATAGGTTGGAGTCCACCCCTGCACTTTCACAGTGGTTCAGGTTGACGTAACATCTAACTGCCATAGATAGTAAACATGTTCCCTTCACAGAGAATGCCAGTTTCAAAGAAATCAGATACCATAAAATAGACTAACTGGTTAAAATATACTTATTGTATTTTCACTTTTTAAAGCTCCAATAAGTACTCAGAAACTTGTATTATATTAGGCTCTTTTGGAACACATCGTTTCTTATACACAAAAGGTTTGAATGCCATAGATATACAGAGATTTTATAATGTATTTTGTGTAATATCACAGCATTGCTCAAGCTACCTCAAAGGTGAGCCTTTTTTTCCTGATTTAGCATAATAGCATATTTTCATGCTTTCTCCCCCCTTTTTTAGGAAAGAATTCAAATAGAAAATGGCACATTAATCATAACAATGCTAAACGTGTCAGATTCTGGTGTCTACCAATGTGCTGCAGAAAACAAATATCAGATCATTTATGAAAATGCAGAATTAAAAGTATTAGGTAAGTCATTAATTTATAATCAGAAAATTCAAAATGGCATTTTAGCACGGTATAAATATATAAATCTGAGTCCCATGTTTTTGTAAATTTGAAATCGATTCCCTTTGCAATAATGGGTAAATGTCTAAATTATCTTATTGCAAGATGTTAGCTCCTGTCAAATTTGTTCTTATTCATGCAGTCATTATGCATCATAGAATGTACTGGGGCCTGATGATCATTGTTGGCATATTTGAGTCCATTATTGTGGATTTTCTCATTGAGGCTTTC